TTACATTTTACATAGAATTATTTTTCAAATAATCTTTGTTTATAAATAAATGATTGAAATTGTTTCAACTTTTGGAAAGTTTAAATAATTCTGTGAATGGAATTGTTTAAACTTTCCAAAAATTTAAGAAATTCCATTAATTTTTTTAGGGATGAAATCGATTTCTGGTAAAATTCTGAATATGAATAAATTCGTTACGATTGCAAAAAAATGCTTTTTCTAGTGCAAAATTAATTGTTTATAAATTATTTATAGAAAATGTTTATACTCGTAATTTTCAAAAATTGAAATTTTTCAATTATTTCGTCAATATTTCTCCAAAAGGAAACTTTTACATTTTTTTTTTTTGATTTTTGAAATTTTTCCTAACGGCTCCATATCGAGATTCAAATTTAAACCTGCAAAGTTTAAATAATAAAATAATCTTAAATATCGGGAATACGATAGCTTCTATGTCTTTCAGAATATTTCAATTAGCAGAAAAAACTTATTTGAAGTCAAAATAACAAAACAAAGAATAATTAAATTTAAAAATTGTCGAAAGCAGCCGAAACCCCAAATTTCTGGACGACTGGGCCATATGTTTTTCATCTACCAAATGTCGATGAATAGAAAGAAATGATTGATCACCTGATTACACGCCTAATATTGTTGAAAAATGAGATAATCAGCGCAATTTTCGTTTTGATATTCCTGGAATATTCAAAGGTACTTCCATTGAAATTGTCCAGAAATTGGCCTGTTTACCCTACTCGGAAAACAATCTGCTGAGAATCTCCAAACTCATCAGCGTTCACTTGCCCCAGAATTAGCCCCAAGGACTTCTAATCTAATCCCATCGAATCAATCATCCAGTGTTTTGGCTGTCTGATTGCGGTATCGTGCCCCCGACATGACTCACCACCGGAAGCAGTTCTGGGGGCAAGGGATGTGCAGTGCAGGAGGATAGGCCATGAAATTGGGACAGAGTTGAATGTGTATACGCGTAGACGACTGGCCAGGTTATCCAGGGGTCGAGCAACGGGCAAAATTGGAGCGCTCGATCCAGGTCGTCCCAGTCTCCCATTTGTATGTCCCGATTTCTGGGTCTCTACACCCCCAGCAGTCCTCTCCGGCGCTTCAACTGGGTCAATGCTCCACTTCATCCCTCTGTGCACTATATATTAACTAGATCTGTGCGCGCGCTTTTCTTTTTGTTGTGAAAATGAAGAAATCGAATTTATTAAACTTCATATACTCTGGATGTTTTATAAATATTGATAATGACTTAAAGAGAATTAAGAGAATGAAGAGAATGAAGAGTGAAGCATCAATGAATAATTTTTAATCTTCGATTAATTCTTTTTTTTTACTTTTAAAAATAATCTGATTAAAATTTGTAATTGTTGAAAAATCAGGGGAGGGTTATGAATTGATTTCCTAGAAAACTAAATTTCTTGAATTCTTCGGAAAATTTCACAGTTTTCCAGATAACCGTAGATCACAGATTTTTCTCGAATTATTTGGGAAACCGAAGAATTTTCGTGAATTTTGTAGAGTTTAGAATTTATTTATGAAAATCTGAGAAGCAAAAATTGATCATTTTGGCGTGTGATAAATATGAAAAAATTAAAATTTGGGAAGTGAAGAATAATAAAATTTCGGAAAACCCGTCTGAAGGCCATGGGAACGAATGGAAGTGAAATTTTACCGAACGCGTTCGGTAAAAAATCATTTTTCGTTACAGAAAAATTGTACGCAATATTGAGCAATCATTCACGTTCATTGGGATAGTTTTTTATGGAAAGCAGGGTAAATTTATAGTTTAGACATAAATTACCCTCACGTTCAGTAAATTTGACCGGACCAACGGAGAACAATTCATTCGTTCCGCACATTTCCCTGATTTGGAGTGAAAAAAATACTGAAAAAGAATTCCCTGAGGGCACATCAATGTTCACAATTATTCATTATACTTAATACTAAAAACAATTTGTGTTCAAATAGAAGAAGTTAAGAGTAAAAAAAACTACGATTCGTTGAAAACATTATTATTCACGTCATCATCTATATCAAATGAAGTTTAGTTGTGGTCAGTTTCATTGTTCTTCATTTATGTTTATCTTGCTTTTATTTCAATTTCTATTTGCTTTTTGTTGATTTGTAATAATAGTTATCAATTAATAAATTAATAATAATATCAAAATAGTTATTTGTTCATATTCGTTTCTATTTTATAGACAGCAGCATTATACATTTTAAGAAATTATTCGTTATTCAATATTTAAAACGTCATTCATTTATTTACAAGTCCTGCAATCCGTCAGCTTATCAAATACACAACGAATTTGGCTTAGGAATTAATTTCTTTCCTTCGATCATCAATTAAATATTCAAACATTGGAGAGACGTTGAAAAATAAATTCGGAAATTGTGACCTTTAAAAAACTTCAAATACGAATGAACGTATGATTTAATTTGCATTGAAATTCGAACATTTCGAATTTTGACATTCTCTGTTCCCCTGATTCCATGTTGATTGAGTGATTATTTTGTTGACGTCAAGGATATCTGTTCTGCTCTGCAGGAAACACAAGGTATTCCACGTCACATTCTGGTTAATTTATCTTCTGATATCCTGAAGACAACCTGTTTTGAAAGTGAAGGGCATCTCGTCAATATTTTGGAAACCAACTGATTAGAAATTGTAATTTAAGCTTTCTCTGATTTCCCTAGATTTTTAATTCTTAAGACGCACATCGTTGGGGAGAATGATTTTTTCGTGAATGCTGAAAAAGTCGTGTTATGTGGGATCATATAATTAACTCATTTCTGAAATCACAATGTCAAAAATTTATTATTATTATGTCACAGTTTCACTGAAATTTCAGGAAATTTCGTCATTGGAAAGTCACAATTTGATGGGAAAATCAATGGAGACTGTAGATTTTCGTTTGATTATTCCACGAATATTAATAGAAATCAGAAAAATTTAGGTGAATCAATCCTAAAATTTTCAGTTAATCGAATGGTAGTGAATATTCATGTTTTAATTGAAAATTCAAGTTATTTGAAGAATTCGATTCTTTCTGCTGCTCAAAAAATTCGAAAGCCACTGAATTCTGCAGTGAAACATTCATGGTTTTTCCTCTTTAAAAGCATTTGGATGTCGCGCTCTCGAAAATAACTACTACTCTCCACAAAATTTCTAACAGTAAAGATTTCTGAAATCATAATGCCCAAAATTTTTGGGTGAAATCTCAGATACTTTTCGAATTTTTTATTATGTCACAGTTTCACTGAATTTTCAAGAAATTTCGTCATTGGAAAGTCTCAATTTGATGGAAAAATCAATGGAGACTCCATTTTCGTTCAATTATTGCACAAATATTCATAGAAATCAGAAAAATTCAGATAAATGAATTCGTGAATTTTCAATCAATCGAATAATACCGAATGATTCATGATTTTGACTGAAAATTCAAGTAATTTGAAGAATTCTCGGCTCTCTACTGCTTAAGGATATCCAAGTACTTTGGCTATTTTTTCTCCAGTGAAATACTTCTCTACTTTCATTTCAGCTCCAGTTGACCCGACGTTTCCGGACACTTTACAATCATTTTATTATTTAAACTTTGCAGGTCTGAATTTGAATTTCGATATTGAACCGTTAGAAAACATTTTAAAAATCAGAAAAAAACTTATAAAGTTTACTTTAGGAAAAAGATTAATGAAATAATTTAAAAATTGCAGTTTTTGCAAATTACAAGCATTTTCTACAAATAATTCATGAACAATAAATTTTCAACAAATTTATTCATGTTCAGAATTTAACCAGAAATCGATTTTAAGCCTGAAAAAATTAAGTTTCTAAAAGTTTAAACCATTTATTTATTATTATTCGTTTATAAACAACGAATATTTTAAAAAAACATTATTCAGTGCAAAATGTAATTTGAATGACACTGAATATTTACGATGTTTTTCAAATTGTTCTCACGCAATTTAATTCACAAATTTGACCATTGAAAATAGTTGAATCAGAATTCTCAGTGAAACTTTCATAATTTTTCCTCTTTAAAGTGCACTGGACGCAACTCCCTCCAAAATACCTCCTACCCTCCACAAAATTTCAAAATTTTCTACCAGCAGAGCCACCGTAAAATTCTGATAAACCCCTCTAATATCTCATCGTTCCGAATGACGCATTAAAACTCCCAACGTAGTTGTCAACTATCTTGAACCTCGCTGAATTATAGAGCATAATTAAAAACTGCATAATTAAAACTATTTTTCATATCCACTTGACCGAAACAATGACGCATCCCGCTTCACCCAGTCAACATGTTTTTATCTCCAGGAGAAAAAAAAAATTCCAAACAGATAAAACCGATGATTTTAACAGGACGTTTTTTCTCTCTCAACCAAGCTCGGAAAGATTGATAATGAATCATGAATTCTGCACTCTTTGTCGAGGTTTTACGTGCCTGAGTACCGAGATGGGGTATATAAAATGACCGACCCAGTTCTATTTTACCTCCATAAAGTACATCCCCCCAAAAGCCCATGGATGACCTCATTTCTAGTTTACATCTGAAAACTGTTGAAAACTGCGCTTGCGTGGTCACTCTCTCCCCTGGGAATTCCAACGGGCAACGAGAGAGAATGCCGGCAACGACAGTAACATGCATTTCACCGACCTATTTCCCGAGGCTCCAGATCCCCGTATCCGCAAGTTTCCTCGGTAACAAAATATGGGGCAACAGGACGAACAAGTCAAATTAAATATTTCTCGCTGTGGAAATGAGGAGAAAAAATTTCATAAAATTTAGAAATCATCTAACGGTATTTTCCGTATGCTTTCCGCGTAATTTTCATTGTTCATGTTTTATTCGCGGGGGCCAAACATTGACGTCCAGGAAACGGAAAACAGCAATTTTCTATTTTCCAGGAATCTCTAATTGGGGATAATTTGTCGATGTTTTTGTTTGATTTTTTTGGTTTTTTTTTGTTGATTCTAGGTCGAGGAAGAGACGACCGAGCTCGAGCAACGACTCTGAGCGCTCTGACAACGGTGGATGGACTGAGAATAATAATAGTAACAGTACTAGCAACAATAATATGAGGCAGGATCATGGGTGCGTTCGGGATGATGAGCGCGATGGTTGCATGGATGATTGCACAGCAGCTGTTGCACTACTCTCACTGCTCAATTCATCTGTCAGCCCCAATAATCTACCTTCACCGATTCCCTGCGAGCCTAGTTATGGTATGTAAGGCTCAAGTTATTTTTGCAGGAAGGAAATTTAAAGGTGACCAAATGGTCTTAGATCCAATGAATTCGAAGAAAAATGGAGAAATATGAGTAATTTTTCCACTGAACTAAAAACTCTTGGGAAAAATAATGGAAAATTCTGGTAAACACTGTTATTATTAAAGATACTAGCAGTAGTGAAAGGTAAAACGGTTTAAGCCTTTACGTTTTCGAGGAATATCTCCGAATCTAAGGGATATAACGAAATTTTTGTAATTACGTTTTTTGTAGGGCTTGATTCGCTCTGCAAAAAAGATATTGATAAAAATTTTTCTATCTCCGGTAAATTTTAAGATATTCATTGAAAACTGGGGAATAGTCAAAATTTGGTTGAATCGTTTCATCAGTTCGCTACTGATATTCATTTGATGTATCAAAAGGTATGAATTGTACGTAAATACTCTGAAAGTTTCCGAAACTTCTAAGCAAATTGACATGACAAAAAATTGCCAAAAAATCTAGCGACTCTAAAACGGAACGGACTAGCCTAGTTACGGTATGTCAGGCTCAAATTATTTTTGCAGGAAAGAAAATTAAAGGTGACCAAATGATTCTGGAGTCAATGAATTCGAAGAAAAATGGGGAAATATGTGTATTTTTTCCACTGAACTAAAAACTCTTGGGAAAAATAACGGAAAATTCTGGTAAACACTGTTATTATTAAAGATAATAGCAGTAGTGAAACGGTAAAACTGTTTAAGCCTTCACGGGTTAGCCCTTAGTTGGGTTTTCGAGAAATATCTTCGAATCTAAGGGAGATAACGAAATTTTTGTAATTACGTTTTTTGTAGGGCTTGATTCGCTCTGCAAAAAAGATATTCATAAAAAATTTTCTATCTCCGGTAGATTTCAAGATATTCATTGAAAAATGGGGCATAATCGAAATTTAGTTGAATGGGTTTACTGCTTCGCTATTAATATTCATTTGAACTATCAAATGCAAAATTAAGTGACTCTGAACTAAAAATGTCCGTTTCATTTAATAATTCAGGGAAAATACTTATTCCTTCCCCGAACTACAAGTTTTTCAGAAAAATAAAGAAAAAATGGAATGAAAATGATTAATATTATTAGTAGTGGTAGTATTTATTTCAGCTATCGAAAAATAATGAATTACACGTAAATTGGTTGAAAGTTTCTGAAACTTTTAAGCAAATTAACATGAAGAAAAAGCCAAAAAATCTAGCGACTTTGAAATGAAAAGGGCGAGAGTTATTTTCAATTAATAATCCAGGGAAAATATTTATTTGATCCACCAGAATAGAAACTCTGCAAAGAAATGATAAAAAATTCTTATAATGATAGATTTCATCATTAGGCCCAGAAAGTTAATATTCATGTGAGCTATCAAAAATCATGAATTGCACATGAATTCTCTGAAAGCTAAGAAAACATGAGAAAGGAGTGTCCAAAAACTGAGTGACTCTAAAATAAAAATGGCCTTTTCACTTAATAATTCCGGGAAAATATTGATTTGTTCCACCGGAATAGAAACTCTTCGACGAAACAATAAAAAATTTTCATCACGATAAATTTCAATACCGAAACTGTAAAAAGGTTCAAGTCGATGTTTACCGTTCCCGAGTTTTCAGTGAATAACTCGGAATCTAAAGAAGATGGCAAAATTTTTGTTCAAACCTTTTTTGTAGCACTTGACTCGCCCTACAAAAAAGGTCATTACAAAAATTTCGTTACCTCCATTAGATTCAGAGATATTCCTCGAAAACTCAGCTAAGAGCTGATTGCAAGTTAACCTGAACCTTTTAACCGCTTCGGTGCTGATTTCATCATTAGGCTCACAGAGTATTTTCTGACGAATGTGCGTTTCTTATAATAACATTATGATCACAATCGTTAGAAAATGCTTTGTGGGCCTTATGATGTAAACTATTTCGTATGATGAAAAATCCTTATCTCTCGAAAACCGAATATAAACCATTGAAAAAAAATAGTTTCCAAGCACTTGCGCCATCGAAACTTGTTATATACCACTGGTCGCCATTTTCAAAGACTTTCGCTTCTGCATGGGCGCAACCAACTGTTGGAATATCTCTCGCGGTCAATTTTCCTTTCCTTTTGCTGACGAAGAGAAATTGAGTCTGGAAAATATCCGAGCTGTTTAATTTTGATTTCCGGGGGAAGGACTCAAATAACGGGGAAATAAAATTCTTGTAATCGTGTCGTCAGGCACTGGGGGCACCTCGAACAGTAGCAGCAGTAGCAGTGGAGGTTCATGGCGCAGCACCACCCCATCACCGGGACTCTTGAGTGAAGAGGGTGCATCACCATCAGAAGTGTCAGCATGGCCAACTTCTGGTAATAATTTCACAGGGAGAAATCATGCACATCAGGGCCGTCATGAGAGACGCTCACCGACGAGCATTCCGTCGGGTTCGTCTTATGGTAGCACCCCTGGATCTACCGGCACACTCGATGAAACAATGTGGTTCCCTGATGATGATGACATGCACCCAAAGAAAAAGGTTTGTTATCTAGATATCAATATTTCTACACTGAGGGAAAAACGACAAAGTTCTCAAACAAGTCTTACTTGTGCCAAGAAAATAGTTTTTTGAGAATCATCAAAAAAGGATTTTTTTGTGCCAAACATGCGGAGAGTGCGCCGGAATGAAAAATCTTTGCCGCAAAAATTGATTTTGTAGTTCAAAAAGAATTGCATTTTTTTTTTTTTTTTTTTTTTTTTTTTTTTTTTTTTTTTTTTTTTTTTTTTTTTTTTTTTTTTTTTTTTTTTTTTTTTTTTTTTTTTTTTTTTTTTTTTTTTTTTTTTTTTTTTTTTTTTTTTTTTTTTTTTTTTTTTTTTTTTTTTTTTTTTTTTTTTTTTTTTTTTTTTTTTTTTTTTTTTTTTTTTTTTTTTTTTTTTTTTTTTTTTTTTTTTTTTTTTTTTTTTTTTTTTTTTTTTTTTTTTTTTTTTTTTTTTTTTTTTTTTTTTTTTTTTTTTTTTTTTTTTTTTTTTTTTTTTTTTTTTTTTTTTTTTTTTTTTTTTTTTTTTTTTTTTTTTTTTTTTTTTTTTTTTTTTTTTTTTTTTTTTTTTTTTTTTTTTTTTTTTTTTTTTTTTTTTTTTTTTTTTTTTTTTTTTTTTTTTTTTTTTTTTTTTTTTTTTTTTTTTTTTTTTTTTTTTTTTTTTTTTTTTTTTTTTTTTTTTTTTTTTTTTTTTTTTTTTTTTTTTTTTTTTTTTTTTTTTTTTTTTTTTTTTTTTTTTTTTTTTTTTTTTTTTTTTTTTTTTTTTTTTTTTTTTTTTTTTTTTTTTTTTTTTTTTTTTTTTTTTTTTTTTTTTTTTTTTTTTTTTTTTTTTTTTTTTTTTTTTTTTTTTTTTTTTTTTTTTTTTTTTTTTTTTTTTTTTTTTTTTTTTTTTTTTTTTTTTTTTTAGCACGATTCTTTACAAGTTTATACAGCTTATAAATGTAGGATAGAAAAGAAAAGAAAATAGAAAGAAGAATTATACTAACAGAAAAACAAGAGAAAGAAAAAGAAAAAAAAAAGAAAAGAATTGCATTCTCTGTACACGAAAGAAATGTCATTTCTAGCACTACTCCTTCGTTATTCGATACTCCTATACCTATTTAGCTCCCGAAAAATCTTCGTTTTATGCGAAACAAGGGACAGTAGTTTTTCGTTTCGACTGTCCAATAATCACAGACAAGAAATAAACCCCTAAACGAAACAATAATTTATTTATTTATTTTGCCACATGTATACCCTCTCGTGTCTTTACATTTTGTTCCCATCCGTTAAATACAAAGAACCCTGTTGTGTAATAGTATCAGCATTTTGACTTACAATCAGTATACAAAATATAAAAGAAAACATAAATGCCATAGGGGCTGTTGTCTTAACTAGTAACAATACATATTTTAAACTTCACATAGTACCAAATACATATTCCTCTTTGACTAGTGTCAGAAATACAATCTTTTTATAGTAAAACGAAACAATAATAATGATATGATAGCAATCTTGTAACTTAGGGATTAAATAGTTGTTGATCATTTTTCCTCTATATGAGATATTTTCATCTTGAAAAGGCACCGACTGGTGTGAAATATCCGCCTCTGGAGCCAAATATTTCGTTGCTGTCGAAAGCAGAACAATTATTCATGTTTGAGACTTTCAAATTCGAACCAGACAAATTCTTTTTTGGCAATTTTCAACTAGCGATTTTGTTGGCCCAAACAAGAATTGTTTGACAATGTGTTTGTTTTTTCGTCAGTGTATATTCGTCGTTCTGTTAATTGTTGAAGCATTTTCATCCTTTTTCCCCTATAGAGCAATTCTGTTTGATGAACCTTATACGTTTTATACTCATTCGAAAGACTATTAAACAAACTTCAAATTGACACGTAAATCATCCCATTCTGATCATTTTTCACTAAATTATAGCACTTAGGCAAAAATTGGTTTTTCGTGTTTTTAGTTCAAAATCAACTTTGGCTGGATTTTTCTACTCTTGCGTCGAATCAATCGAAATATTGATATACCATATTGAAGGGCATTATTCGTTCTTCAAATTGTGATGCATTGAATGCGATTTCGTTGAATTTTCATGAAGTTATGGGAGATTGTTTCTCTTTTGAACGTCATGTCACACCCTGAAATTCCCGTTTTTCATCCATTATTATTGGACCTTTGCACTTGACTAATGAGAATTTATTATGCACTAATTTAAAGATTTCAAGTAGATCTTTGAAATGATGTGTGATTTTTTTTATTACATCCATTTGATCAATTGTTATAGAAGATTATGTGTCAAATTTCGCTGTCACAAATTGAAAATTTGTTATTTTTCTAACCTTCTGTCCTGAATTACCGTCTTTTGGCTCAATTATTATCAGAACTTTCATGTCAGCTGTGTAGTTTATTGAATAAGCTTCAAATTGAGAGGTCAGTCATTTAATTTCAACAATTTTTCACAAAGTTATAAGACTTTTTGTCAAAAATTGCTTTTTTCATGTTTTATTTGAAATTTGAAAAATTCAAATTTGGCGGTATTTTTAAATCCTTTTGAGTGAAATCAACGGAAAAATAACTATCATTTTAGGGCGTACTATTCGTTCTTCAAATTGTAATGTATTGAATGTGATTTAGTTAAATTTTCATGAAGTTATTGGAAATTGTTTCTCTTTTGAACGTCATGTCACACTCTGAAATTCCAGTTTTTCATCCATTGTTAGAGCTTTGCACTTGACTAATGAGGATCTATTATGCACTAATTTAACGATCTCAATGAGACCTTCAAAATTACGTATGATCTTCCTCACTCCATCCACATGATCAATTGTTATGGGTGATTATGTGTCGAATTTCGCTGTCATAAATTGAAAATTTGTCATTTTTCTAACGTTTCGTCCTGAATTACTGTCTTTTGGCTTAATTATTATCAGAACTTTCATATCAGTTGTGTAGTTTATTGAATAAGCTTTAAATTGAGAGGTGAATCATTAAATTTCTAAAGAAACTGTGACTCAATATTAAAAATTAAGTTTTAACTTTTAATTTGGTGCTGAAAACACGAGATGACAATATTCTAAGCACGGAATTATATTGATGAGACGAACAACAGATTAATTGAATTACCTAACTAAAAATTGATAACAGTGTAGACACGCATAGTAATTGGAACAGGAGCAAATCACTTCTTGTAATACCAAAATTCAACAGCTGATAAATTGGGGCATATGATTCTCATCGGTCGTATTGCTTTTTGCAATGAGAATGATTATAAACAATTCATTGAACAAAGGAATATCGAATCTAACAGGAAAAAAGGATGAAAGAGCATTTTAGATAAATAATTGTCTTCTCTCCAAAATAATGAATTTTCTGTTTTTGAAGCATTCACAACAAAACTTTCACAAAAATCCTCGGATTTTTCCGAACAAAGCCTCAAGACACTCTTTCAACACTGTCGATTGACATTTTATTACAAAAACTCACCGCGAACAACGCGACAACTATTTCGTAACAACGAACCTTGAGATATGATCGCTGTAAATATCCTCTAATCTTAGCTCATGCCGTTCACAGCCGTTCTATAACTTAGGGCTTAAATATAAGTATTAGATTCAAGACACGAGCTTCTAAGATTGCCCAGAAATAACTGCACCGAAGACTCACAAAGGATGAGCAAAATTACCAATAATGTCTTTTATTTATTTATTTTCAGAGTCGAACTAAATTGAATCGAGAAATCATTGTCAATCGACGAAAATATACACAACCAACACAAGGCTATATTTTCGAAGACTGCGGTCGAGTAAGTATCATTACTCATTATTATTTATTAAATTATATTATTATTTGGATTTGAATCAGGAAGGAATTGATTCAATCGCCGATTCACAATTTTTTAATTAGGACATTGTGGGGTGATGAGGAGTTGGAAGCAATGTCAAGGATCATTTTCAACAGAATATCTCGTTTTTATTACCTTTAAGGATATCCAAGTACTTCGGCTATTTTTTCTCTACTGAAATGCTTTTCTAATGCCCCATTTTATAATTCATTCATTATTTAAACGTTGGAAAACATTCTAAAAATCTGAAAAAAAATTAGAAAGTTCACTTTCGGAGAAAGTTTGATGAGATAATTTCAGATTTTCAATTTTTTGAATTACGAGCATTTTCTGTAAATAATTTCATTCCTAACAAATAAGACTTTTGAAAGTTTAAACAATTTCATTCATTTATTTCTAAACACTGAATGTTGAACAAAATTCTGTGCAAAATATAATTTGAATGACGCTGAATATTCGTGATTTTTTAAAAATTGTTCTCACACAACTTAATTGACAAATTTGGTGATTGAAAATGGTTGCATTTATATTGTAGTTCATATCAAACTGTAAAAGATAATTAGATATCATTCAAATCTTTATGCCCTAGATACATTCTCAATCCATAAAAATGGAGAAATCATACCCGAAAAAATGATAGAAATCTTCAAACATTCCGAGTTACGTCCAATTCCCTATAATCATGACAATCTTTTCTCAGTGAAACATGAAATTTATGTACCATTGAATTTCCACCTAGAACAGCTTAGTCATCAGAGCAAAACAACATAATGTGGATTTTTTTTTAAATCAGGAATTTGAATCTTGTACAATTTCTCAATTAAACATCAGGGGTCATTATTTTTTTTTAAATAGTATATTTTGGTACGAGTGCGTAAAAGTGCTTTTGGGAGGTGTGTCGCCCTCCAAAGTGTCAAAGGACACTTCCCACGAGTGTCGAATCCTATTTTTTATCGAAATGTGCAGAATGTGGAATTTTGCGGAATTTTTCGGAGCGTGCGTAACATTTCCCTTTACACACAATTAATGAAAAAATGTTTTCAACTCGTGGAAGGTGTGCAGCGCTCGCCGAAGACGAGTGCTATTCTCCCAAGGGTCAAAGAACATTTTTCCCACGAGTGTCGAACCCCATTATTTTTCATGACTTGGGCGTAAAATGTAAAAATAGTACATTATGTTACTAGTGCGTAAAGTTCCACTTTTTCACACTCACGTGTAACACATCCAATTTTTTTGTAGTACCTGAAGAGTTCACTCTTCGTCACGGTAGTGGGAGTAATGTGGTTGTTTTTGTGCACGAGTGCATAAAGTTCAAGAGCATGCGTAAACGTTACGCACGCCGCGCAGCAAACAACCGCTTTACGCACACTAACCCGTTTCGAAAAGTGCAGTTTTGAGGCAGGTATCACAAAAAACACTTTTTCATAACTAGTGCGTAATATTTCACTTTACGCACAAGTAATAAATGTTTTTTGACCCGTGGGAGGTGTCTGCCCTCCCAAGCGTTAAAGACCACTTTTTCCACGAGTGTCGAATCCTATTTTCTCACACACCTGCACAGAAAGTTTGCACTTTGCTCCCTGATAAAAGGGAGGAAAGTGAGTACTTTCCGCCCTAGGGTGGAAACGACTGACTTTCTCTTACAGCTACTCTCCGCCCAAGGGTGGAAAGTCAGTACTTTCCCCCTTCGGGAACAACTTTCCACCCTCGAGCGGAAAGTATTCACTTTCCTCCCCTTCATCAGAAAGCAAACTACGAACTTTTCTTTGCAGGCGTGTAAAAATAGTATATTCCCGACCTAGGGAGGGAAAATAAAGGAGTCGTGCCCACGTGCAGAATTACCACCCGAGCCGAAGGCGAGGGTGGCAAGCACGTGGATAAGGGTCCTTTATTTAACCCCCCGTGGTCAGGACGTTATTTTTTCACACACCTGCACGGAAAGTTCGTACTTTGGTCCCTGATGAGTGGGAGGAAAGTGAGTACTTTCCACCCGAGGGCGGGAAGTTACTTCTTCGGGCGGAAAGTCAAGACTTTCCGCCCTTGGGAGCAACTTTCCACCCTAGGGCGGAAAGTACTCACTTTCCTCCCGCTCATCAAAGAGCAAAATACGAACTTTGCAGGCGTGTTAAAATAGGATATTTCTAACCTAGGGAGGGAAAATAAAGGATCCTCAGCCGCCAGTGCAATGACCAGCCGAGCCGAAGGCTAGGTTGGTAAGCACGCGGCTGAGGGTCCTTTATTTTACTTCCCATGGTTAGAACGCGATTTTCCGTCTCGACGTAGGCGCAAAGTCAGAGTTCCCGCCCGCGAAGCGGGAGGGAAATGTAACTTTGCGCCCGCCGGGACGGAAAATAGCATGTGCATCTCGGGCGGGAAAACATGACTTTCCGCCCTTGATGCACAATATACTATTTTTAATACGCCTGCAAAAGAAAGTTCGTATTTTGCTCTTTGATGAGCGGGAGAAAAGTACGAACTTTCCGTGCAGGTGTGTGAAAAAGTTTTTTTTTAACCCACGGGAGGGTAGCACTCGCCTACGACGAGCACTGCACACCTCCCACGAGTCAAAAAACAAATTTTCATCAATTGCACAAAAAATTTCATAAATAAATAATGCCCAATCACCCACAGCACATATTCATATTCATCAATAATATGCATTCCAGCTGATACATGACGATATCGTTCCTATGTACACATGATTCTAGAATGTACACATAACCGAGGCATTTATTCGCTCGTGCAGTCAGGGCCGCTGTGACCTTAAATGGCCTCTCCTCTCTCTCTCTCTCTCCTCTCGATTCCCTCCCTTCTCATGCAAAAAGCCCACTCCTCGTGCTACCGCCATTTCTACTAGTTATATCAACTAGGTACTACCGCCGACCACTGCAAGCTGCCTCATCGTAAAGTGCGACACGTGCCACCATCAAGTGACGTCACGCCCTGCTCTATGCACTGTCTCTGTACTAGTGCCCAGAAGCAGTGTAATGTGCATCTACTATGACCTACCATTGCTCTCCTTTGTTCGCGATTTAATCGCACCACAACCGATTCTACGTAACGCTCAACTCAAGGCCCCGCAATTTTTCATTTTCACTTTTGGGTGAAAAAAAAAAATGGAAAGGAAAATCTCGAGGAGTCGATGAGAAATAATTATCACCAGCTAGAGAGAGTTTGAGTTTTTTGAGGTCATGCACGTGTACTCTATCGCTAGATGAAGCCCCCCACCACCAGCAGTTTTGTGCATGTGCCTGGGTGTGCGCAGATGGTGGTATCTGTGTGAGGAAAACCCGCGAGGGTCATCCACGTGCATTCAACATAGGTAACCAAAGGCCTCAGATATACCTAATTTCTTCGCAAGGTCGGTCTCGGCATCAAGGCATTCCAAACACACTTCACTGCTCGGGGATTTCATTGATCCAAGGGAGTGTAGTGTGACTTCATGACAATGCATTACAATGCAGTTCGATGGAATTGTTAAAGAGATATTGATTTATTGATTTTGGGGGGGGGGGCTCATTGGATCATTCAGGTTTATGAGGAGAGACTGCGTAATTGTTATTGGGTTACTGGAAATTTGTGTAAATAGGATTGTTTGCGCGGTTATCTCTGGGGAAGTTTCCACATTATGTTCTTTTACTGGTGATGAGTAAGCTGTTTTAAGTGGAAATTCAATGGCACATAAATTTCGTGTTTTACGCGGAGGAGATTGTCATGATTGCCGGGAATTGGACATAACTCGGGTGTTTGAAAATCGGTATCATTTTTCCGAAAATGATTTGGCTATTTTTATGGATTTAGAGTGGATCTAGGGAACTAGAGATTTTTAGGGAAAATGTAAGATGTTTTTCAGTGGTTGTGGGAGGGTAGCACTGGCCTTCGGCGATCCCTATATACCTCGCACGGGTCAAAAAACACTTTTTGATCACTTGAGCATAAATCGAAATTTTACGCACTTGTGCATAAAACGTGTTTTTCATCCCTTGTGGGTAAAATTTAATTTTACACACAAATGCTGAAAGTGTTTTTTTACATTTTACGCGTAAGTGATGAAAAATAGGGTTCGATACTCGTGGGAAAAGTGTTCTTTAATCAGTGGGAGGGTAACACTCGCCTTCGGCGATCGCGATACACCTCGCACCGGTCAAAAAACACTTTTTCATCACTTGTGCATAAAAAGTATTTTTCATCCCTTGTGGGTAAAATTTAATTTTACGCACAAGTGATGAAAAATAGGGTTCGACACTCGTGGTAAAAGTGTTCTTTAATCAATGGGAGGGGTAGCATTCGCCTTCGGCGATCGTTATACACCTCGCACGGGTCAAAAAACACTTTTTCATCACTTGTGCATTAAAAGTGTTTGAAGCGTGTTGAATTTCATTTTACGCACAAGTGATGAAAAAAGGGTTTTTTGACTCGCGTAAGGTCTGTAGCGCTTCCAAAGGTCCAAGAACACTTTCTCCACAAATATCGAACCCTATTTCTCATCACAATGTGTAAATTTCACTTTACGCTCAAGTGACAAAAAGCAATCTTACATTTTTCTCTAAAAATCCCTTGCTCTCTAGATCCACTCTCAATCTGCAAAAATGCTCTTAATCCACAGTGGCCCTGACTGCACGAGCGAATAAATGCCGAATAAATGCAATGATATCGTTATGTATCAACTGGAGGGCATATTATTGACGAACATGAATATGTGCTGGGGATTATTTATTTATTGGGGATTATTCATTTCGGTTTTTTCATTGTAACGGTCAATGTGTTAAGTTGGCTTAGGGTTTTTCCCGAAATTGAGGTCACGGAACCACTCGTTTTAATTGATTCACTTCCCGTTTTGTTTTTTCTTTCCCCGCATGTTTCGTGGAATTGAGTCAAGCGATATTTTTATTACTTTCATGTTAGAGTTGAGGATTTATTGTTATTGAAAATTGGCAGGTTGCGAATCGCTCTGGCGAGCA